TGGCTATCACTACCGGTCAGAGTGGATCCAAATCTTACTACCAGACACCAATGAAAAATGTATTGTGAAATGCAGCTGTCAAGAATAGCTAAAGCCTAGCTTATCTAGCTCATTCTAAGCACATATAGAATGACAAACAGAACAACATAATTCCCAGGATATATAACTTTGGGTTATGGTTCTCCAAGACAGCCAAAAAGCTTCAGTTTCATAAAATTTTCACTATCCAACTTAAAGACACTCCTTTAGGCATGACAGTGAGCCATTTAGGCACCCGTGGGAGGGAGTGCTTTTCTTAAAGTTACATGTGCAGAATTCACAACTGGCAGACAAGAAATATAATCTTTTTATCACCATATCATTTAAAATCATCCTTTGGCATAAATTTCCACCCTCCCCCCCAAAAAAATCAGGATTAAATGTGGGACCACTAGTAGATTAACACAAATGTAAGATATAGGTTATATCCAGTGAAAAGTAATTATGTCTACATACACACACACTCCACAAAAATCAGAGTGTAATAGTGTATATTATTCTAACAATAGAGTTTATGTATTTTTTATAAGGCCCTTGATAGTGCCCCACTTCTTCAGAACTGTAGTTCCCATCATCCTTACCAATCACAGTGCAATCACACACCCAGAGGTAATTGAAAGTTGAGCAGAGGTGGGACAGTCACCACAGAATCTGTGTCTGTTATTTCATAGGAAAGGAATGGAGCCATTCTCAATATGCTAAATACACAAGAATGATGGCTTGGCGGGGCGCCTGGGTGGCGCAGTCGGTTAAGCGTCCGACTTCAGCCAGGTCACGATCTCGCGGTCTGGGAGTTCGAGCCCCGCGTCAGGCTCTGGGCTGATGGCTCAGAGCCTGGAGCCTGTTTCTGATTCTGTGTCTCCCTCTCTCTCTGCCCCTCCCCCGTTCATGCTCTGTCTCTCTCTGTCCCAAAAATAAATAAACGTTGAAAAAAAAAATTTAAAAAAAAAAAAAAAAAAGAATGATGGCTTGGCAAAATTGATCGTATGTATGTTCAGTTCCATATTTCTCAATAGCCCCAGAGGGTATCAGGGGATATCTATGATAATCATGATAGTATACAGTTGATCCTTGAACATGAGAATTAGGGGCACCAACCCCTGTGTATTTGAAAATCTGCATATAACTTTTGATTCCCCAAACCCTTAACTGCTAAGAGCCCACTATTGACTGGAAGGCTTACCAATAACATAAATGGACAATTAATACATACTTTGTATGTCATATGTATTATATACCATATTCTTAACATAAAGTAAGATAGAGAACAGAAAATTGTGTTAAGAAAATCATAAGGAAGAGAAAATACATTTACATTCCTATACTGTACTTATAAAAGATATCCACATATAAGTGGGTCTGTCAGTTCAAATCCATTATTCCAGGGTCAAATGTACATTCCACACTTCATAAATATCTCTTATTCCAGATTGCCAAACAATACATTGTTACAAAGAGGGGATTTTAAATAATTTAATATTTAAAAGAGATATGGCTCAGTTATGGCATACTTTCACTTTCAGTGAAATGTCCCCTTCCCTGATCGAAACACATAAATGAAGTCTGTATTATATTGTCGATTTTTTTTTTTTTTGGAATATAATTTAAATCAGGAAAATGTCTTCATTCCCAAAAGAGTGTGTTCAGTCATTCATAATGAAACTCGAAATAGTCTTTGATTTGCTAATACTCTACATATCAAGCTATATTTTAAAAAATGACATATAGGGTATATGCATTCAGTAAATCCTGGAGAAAGAAAAATGTCATAAAGGTTCTATCCATTACTTAAATGTAAACTAACTAAAAGCAACTTTCCTTTATAAGCCTAAAGTCTGAGAAAATACCTCTGAAGTTGCTTTTTAAAGAATATTTTCTTAAAACAATAACATCATGATTTTTGAGGATATTTACATTTGTACAAATTAATAATTTTACAAACAAATAATATATACTTTTGTAATGGGGACATAAACAGTTCAAGGTGCAGTAAAAGTTCAAAGAAAATTAAAGGAAAAAGAAAAGAAAGAAGAAAATTTGTTTTTATGACCTCAGGATGATAAATTTGAGTTCAGTTCACCAGACTGCCAAGTTAGATTGTATTTAAAAAAAAAAAAAAAAAAAAAAAAAAAAAAAAAAAAAAAAAAAAAAAAAAGCCAAATCCTAAATAGCATGTGAATTTTACTAGAACAATTTCCCATAGGTATTGGCATTGCTTACTCCCCACCTAGCCAAGGGGGACCCAATTATTATTCACACCAAATGATAAACAAAACAAATGATAATCCGTCACCAATCTTTTCTGAACTCCCTTACTTCTAGACTCTAATTACCCAAAGGGTTTCCATTCTTAAGGGACAATAAAGTGTGTCTCAGAAACAAGGACAGACTCTTGGATCTGTTTCTCCATAAGAGTCTATTTCATTTGCATTGGAAATAGGATTTACCTATCTTTTTTAAATGCAAATAATTTCCCCATCCCAGATACAACTATTCAAATAACAAACTGTTCATGAATAAACACAGAACAATGTGGATCCTGGTAGAGACTATTTGCCACAAGTCTACCACCATTTGGTACTGAAACAACAAAGGAAAACAATTACAGGAAATTTCACTGCAATTATTTATTTATATACATTCATAGAGTGGGGATACAAAGTTGATTAAATCATCAGGAGCTCACCTAAGTTGTATTTTATAAAAGTAAATAACCAAAGAACAGGTATCTAACGAAAAGTAAAATATTTTAAAAATATGATTACTGAAAGAAAATACAGAACACAAAACAAACAGAAAGAAAGAAAAGCTGCAGACTTTTACGAAATACACAATTATTAGACGGGAGAAAAACCAAGCTGTATAAAGCATCAAATAAATTAAAAGTTTTGTGAAACTGTAGAAATTCTGTGGTGATGCTAATGTGTTGCACAAATTTCTGGGGAGAAAGTCCACAGTTTCGCAGACTTTCAAAAGGATCTTTGAGCCAAAAGGGCTAAGATTCCCTCCATCACAGCTTCCTCATCATGACTATGATACCCATTCTAGTCTAGTTGCTCAATTACATGCTCATCTAGATTATTAAAGTGAGGGTCAGATGATTTCTCCCAACCCATCTCCGCTAATCCATCTAATCCCCAAGCATTATGGTCTGGCCATACCCAATTACTCAATACCCCAAGTATTCCATATAATTCCATACCTTTCCTCAAGCCTTTCAGAAATAGTAAGGCAAAGGGTCTAAAAGCACAAACTCAGAAGCCAAAGTGCCTGGGTTTACACCCCAACGTCACCAAATTGTATGATCCGGGGCAAGTTGCTTAACTTCTCTACATTATAGTTTCCAGATTTGGAAATAGAGGATTAAACAAACTAATATGTGTAAAATGCTGGGAACATTATTAGCATAGCAAATTCTTCATTAAGTATTCCTTATGATTAACAAATTGCCTTGCTCAGCTCCTTAAGTGCGCAAGCTCCTTATCATCCTGATTCAAATAAATGTCACAACTTCTGAAAAGACCCAAAGCCTGCTTTCCATCTGAATCACCAGTCCTTGAGTAGCAATTACTTAATAAAATGTCCTTTGATCACCAAAATACAAAGTTTTCTTTATCTCTTTGCCCTTAAATCACAAAACACTTGCTGCCTATACTAATTTTCATACTTTTGCTCTCAAAAGACACCCACAGATTAGTAGAAGGGTTTTTTTAATGTTTACTTATTCTTGAGAGAGAGAGCGCAAGAGAAAACAAGCAGGGGAGGGGCAGAGAGAGGGAGACAGAGGATCCTAAGTGGGCTGACAGGCAAGAGCCCTATGTTGGGCTCCAACTCATGAACTGCAAGATCATGACCTAAGCCAAGTCAGGCTTAACAGATTGAGCCACCCAGGAGCCCTAGAAGGGTTTTATGTTGTTTAATAAATGTGTACAAATATGAAATTATGTTCTTAAATATCATTTAATTTCACTCTTCAATTTTCTAGTTGAAGAAACTGAGGCTCAAGGAGACTACGAGTAGCAGTGATAACAATAACAATAAAAATAACAATGAAATAATCACTTATATACCACTTACTATATCCCAGACACCGTTCTAAATACCGGATATGTGTTAACTCATTCAGTCTTCATAACAATCCCATGATGCAGGTACTATTATTCTATTTTTCATATACAAGAACACAGGCACAAAGAAATTCAATAAGTTTATCAAGGTCACACAGCAGCAAGTAAGTAGGGGAAGCCTGGGCTTAAAGCAGGCCCCCTGGCTCTAAGAGCTGTGCTTTTAATCCTTGTGACTTTCTCTCTGTAGATAAGGAGAAACTCATCCAGTGATCCAAAAGTAATTAATGGAAAAGCCTGAAGTACACACGGAGTTCTCTGAATTCCCTGCTAAGGCTCTTTCCTTATGAGTCTCCTATCCCTTACCCAGAGTGATGGCCATAGCAAGCATTCAAAATACAATGGTTCAATGATTTCTTGACCCACCTAATTCTCTGAATGCAATAATATTTATCCCAATTGCACAGTTTGTTCCTTGAACAAACTTCTCATTTGGCTTGGCTGTCTTCTTACTTAATCGTTCCCAGTCTTGAAAGAGACCGGAACGACCAAGGAATAACTGTTTCAGTTTTTCACTTGTAAAAAGTATGAGGTCTTTGTTGTAATTTGGTTTCTGATGGATTGACTCAAAGGCCAGAGGAGCCTCTGAAGTTTTCCCACACATGAGCATTGAGCTCAGGTTCCACCCAAAGCCAAAAGGTATCCCATCAGTGACTGCTGGCTACCTCTCAGGCTAGTCTGTGATTTTGTTTAAAGCGTGCCTCCCCAACATCTGTTCCTTAAAGAGCCTGCTTAGTCTACCTGCCATTGCCTGTCACCAGCAATACAGAGCAGAATCTGAGCTCTCTAGGCCACAAAGCATAGTGGTTCTGAGTTCTGAAGTCCCTCCTCACTTACCCTCACATTCTGGCAAGGAAATCCTTGAGAAACCACAGTTTCCTCACCTGTGAAATGGGGATATTTACCTCAAGAGGCTGTTAAAGGGATTAGATGAGAACATACTTGTAAAAGTGCTTAGCTCAATACTTGGTACAAAGGATGAACTCAAATTTGCTAAGAATAAAAATATATTACTTGTTCCTATTGTGCTTCCCTGAATTCCCACGGCATTGCTTTCGCTCCACATACCAGCATTTCGTTTCAGCGCGTGAAAACTCTTCTTTACATTTGGCTTATTCATGCCTCAAAAGCCCCCAAGTATTAGCATATAAATGTTTGTACCATATGGGCTACCGGGAAGGAACTTATCTTGCCAAATGACATTAAATATGGCCCCAAGATAGTTGTTTAATTAAGAACTGTATCCATCATCATGGGCATATATGAAATTCTTACTAGTAGTATATTGTGACCTTAGTGGAAAGGTCAGAGAAGCAATGAATATGAAAGCCTAGAGACCACTGAGCCTTCCAAGACCATCAGGTTTTATGTGTGCAGCAACATTTTCCCAATAATAGCACTGGGCTAACAGATATATTATTTAAAAAAAAAAACAAAAAACAAAAAACACCATTTTCTGGAAGAGAAAATGTTCCAGAACATTTGTGTAAAACACATAGTTTTTAAATGTTTATTTTATTTATTTTGAGAGAGAGGGAATAAACCCGAGCAGGGGAGGAGCACAGATAGAGAGAGAACGAATCTCAAGCAGAGGGCTCGAACTCAGGAGCCCCGGGTTCATGACCTGAGCTGAAACCAAGAGTCAGAAGTTTAACCAACCTAGCCACACAGGCACCTCTATGTAAAACATTTTTAAATGGGCTCATTTATGGCAAGTCTTCATAAAGATTTGAATATGTTATTGTATCTTATGAGTATCCAGGAGGGAAATCAATCATGTCCCAAATTTTTTCCCTATAAAATTCAGTCTTCCAGACATACTGTATTTTGTGAAAGCCTACTGTAAACAAATAACCAACTCAACTATTTAAACAAAGTAAGTTACTAAGTTCATGCAAACATGAATATTCAGTATCAGTAAAGCTGGCCAGAAATTATAATCAAAATCATAAACATGTGAGTTTGTTTAAGCTGAAGGAACATTTGTCTATCAAATTCCAAACAAAAAAACAAAAAAACAAAAAAAAAACCCCGCATAGTGGAAGGCTTGCTTATTTCTGATTTCTACTTATTCATATATCCATCATACTGAACAGTGTACCACCACGCAATAAAAGTTAACATCTTTTAGTCTATAAAGCACAGGTTGTTTACTTGATGATACACGAATACAGCTCTATAATATTGATTTAAGTCAAATATGATTTTTTTTTAAGTTTTTTATTTTTGAGACAGAGAGAGACAGAGCATGAATGGGGGAGGGGCAGAGATGGAGGGAGACACAGAATCGGAAGCAGGCTCCAGGCTCTGAGCCATCAGCCCAGAGCCCTATGCAGGGCTCGAACTCACGGACCGCGAGATCGTGACCTGAGCTGAAGTCGGACGCTTAACCGACTGAGCCACCCAGGTGCCCCAAGTCAAATATGATTTAAAGATACCAAATGCCATTAGTCGCTTTCAAATCAATAACGAATAAGTTCCTTATATTTTATCTGAACTGAAAACCACTCTAGCTATCTGCGTGTGACTGCTCTATTAGGCAATAATATTATTTGGAACAAAGAACTATTTTATGAATATAAGATTTTCAACTTAAAAAAAGTATTAAACATTAAAACAAAATCTATACATACATAGTTGAACACTTTCGTATACATGATTTCATTCAATCTTTATAAGAGCCCTTTGTGATAGGCATCATAAGATTCATCACTTTATAGATGAAGAGAACAAGAAAAATGTGCTTACGTGGCATGGTGAATATAACACAGGTAGTGCGTGGGGCCAAGATGTATTCCTAGAGTCTTGACTCTAAATCCCGTGTCCTTTCCACTAAACCTCATCACATTAACCTGCAAATGCCTGCACATTGCAGGTTGTCAAAGGCAGTTGCTATGACTCTTTTAAAAAGCTAATTAAGGAAGAAGGAAACCAAAGACTTCCAACCACAGGAAAGAAAATCTCTGATTGTGGATGTTGATAGGAATGTCACAGCTGCAGGCACCTTCCCTGCCTTCCTTCACGTTGAAACACAGCATTCTGCATCTGTGATCTGGGGCCAAGCCAACCTTTCAACATGCTAGTCAGAGATAACAAAGACTATCGATCATTTAAGTGTTTACTCAGATTAATTACAATGAATTTTTGTTGTCAAAATAAATTATGTCCCTTCTTATATTAGGGGCTTATAGGAAAGAAGTTTGGGTAATGCAACTGTGCTTGTCCCCAGGGCTCCGGACCCCCACCACCTATTGGGTTCACATCCTTTTTCTGCTACCTGTTGGTCTCCGTCTTCGGGTGATTTATCCAATCTCTCTGTGCCTGAGTTTTCCTCATCTGCAAAATGCAGATAATAATATCACCTATCACACAAGGCTCTCGCGAGGATTGAACAACACACTACATGCCACGTAAAAACTTGAAGAATGCCTGACATGTGCTAAAGTGCTCAGTAAGTGCTTACGATTATTATTATGAGACTTGTTAAAACAGCAGAAAAAGCGTAAAAATAACAGTAGCTCCCTGAGTTGTGTCTTCCCAAGAAAAAGAGCAAGAATCATTACAGACCTTCATTTAGAGAGGACCCCCATCCCTTAAGATACACTTAGGTTTTCAGTATTGATCAATGGCTCTATGGAAGAAGTTCTATTTCTACCTATTAGATAAACCAAATTTAAAACTCAAGAATGTGATTCCTCCCACAGCAAAATAATGTGTAACAGCACCCTTTATCAAGCCAATGTGCTCTGGGGAGTCACTGATGTAACTAGTCAGCAAAATCCCCTGGGAGAGCTCACTGAAATAATCAGTGATCAAATGCAAAGGGCCAAATTGGGCTCTGGAAGTCTTATTTTGATAAACTCTGAACTGCACAGAAATCCAAACCACCCGCACACTGATTAGGCACATGAGTGTAATTAGCCATAGCAATTCTCCTCCTAGTCATTTCCTTTATTTTCATTTAAATTAATAGAACCCCTTAGGTGAAATGCAAGAGAAAAACGTTAGAGAACACAACTATTCACTCTAATAGCAATCATCAAGTGTTTTCATTCTGACGGTGTAATTATGTAACGGCATACCTCTTTGCTAAGAAAATTCTCATGTCCTTTCTTTAGGTTTTGTACTGACTCAAGTTTGCACTGAGGGAATGTCACTTTACCCAATGTAATATTTACCTTGTTAATAATTTACAATGATAACATTTGTAATTAATAATGTAAATAATAATGTAAAATATAATATTTCATTTACCAAATGAAATATGTGCCTTCATGCCAAGAGAAAATTATCTTGAAAAGTTTTAAAAATCAATGCAAATTACTGTAAAATTAAGGAAAAAAAACTGTTCATCTAACCAAGAGATATTAAACAAAATATAGGGGACTACAAGTAGATTTCTCTTCCTAAAGAATACTTGTATGTCAATAAAGAGGGTTATTACCAAAACACCGAATGCTTTCATTAATGCCTGTTGTATTGATTTCTCCCAAATTCCTGATTTCTAATATTACGAAAGGAACAAAAAGTTTTCTCAATTTTCTCTTGTGCCTAATTAACTATTAACCACCCAGTTACCTATTAAGCAAAATATAATTTCTTCTTAATTTGTTACAGCGCAAGCACTTCCTTCCCTGTGGTAAAGAAAGGTAAACAACAGTGAAAGGGAAAGAAGGCTCACTTATGTGTTTCAGAAACAAGGACCCGTTCACCGTTCTAATCCAAATGTCTCTTTTAACTCAATAAAACTAACCTTCAGTTGTTTTCATTTAGGCATTTTTAAAATCCCTAATTTAATAAAGCTAATAGAATTTGCTCTAGAGCAAACCTTGTCCTGCTGACATACTGAATTTATTCTAAGACCCTGCTAAGCCATTTAAAATGTGCAATATACTTAACTATGTAGTATAAAAAATGTTTGCCGTTTAGCAAATATAGAAATTTAGAAATATAACATGATCAGTTTAAGATTAAAGTTGTACTACCAAAGCTCAATAAAAACAGAATTTAAGTAGCAGAGAAATATAAGACATACTCAGTATGTAACAGACTGCATTATCACCAAATTTAGAGAATCTTTTATTAAATGACTATCAAGCTTAATTAAAAGAAAAAAGTATCTAAGTCTTGAACTTTTGTATCAACAATGAATATCTAGTAGAAGAATCTAAGAATGAAGGTACTTTTTGAGGTAGCTTTTGGCTGACCTGCATATGAATCCGAAACAAAGATGCTTCACTATCAATAAATTAAATGGTTTTATGTATGATTTCCCATTTGGAAACACTAGCCATTGTACCATGTGAGGGAAAATAGTAATATGGTTCCCAAATGAACTTCAATTATATGAAGTATTTTTCTCTCATTTGCAGAATGAACGGCACTGTCTGAAATTAAGGAATTAGTAGTGATAACAAATAAGTCAATTATATTTTTTTTAAATCCTAAATTCACTTTACTGTTGTGAATCATGGTGCTATGAATTGTATTTCACCAGCTGATCACCAGATTGGGGCCATGCATTCCAAAAAGTGAGTCCTTCAAAACTGCGTTCTAGAGCTTTCCACTTGCTACAAAAATGTTCTGTTGATTTTAACAGCCTACTTAGGATTAAACAAAATCAACACATGCGTCTATGGTGAATTATATCAAAACCATTTTGAAAGAGAAACTACTGAAAAATCCCTTCCCTAAACTGTTATTCGAATACCAATGGTACACCTTCAATGACCAGGGAAAATAAAAATGTTCCAAAACATACAAAAGTAAAAGTCTTAGATATGCTTTTAAAATTTGTTGCAGAAATGAGCTACACTAGTGGGTAAACCGAGGCTAGACATTCTATATGGATTTCATTCAGGCATAGAGCACTTTTCCCTGGTGTCAAGAGGTTTGACTATTTGGATTTGAGACCTGGCTTTCCCATAACTGTATAAAATAAGTGTTTATTGCCCTCATTTCACAGATTAAGAAAAAGAGGTTAAACACACTGTCCAAGTTCACACTGATATTAAGTGGCAGAGTTTGGATGCACAACTAGGTAAATCTGGTTTAAAATTTTCACATGATATCATGTTAAGCTACTTAATTTATTAGGTAAAATTGGAATGCTGAATAACT